CACATCTATAGATCAGAGCTTACATTAGTTGGTAGTTTAGTTTTCACCAGTGGCGGATTTTGAATTTCCATTTTGGGTGTTCAATTTGTTTTTACAACTAAGAATTTAATGAACATTAAATAATTACACTAAATTTATCCATGTATACTTACACTTTTTTTCAGATTTTTGGGTGTTCATGTGAATAGTTTTGAACAATGGTGGCTCCGCCCCTGGTTTTCACCTACAAAAAATTTTAGTTTAAAATTCGATCGGGAAAGCAGTCAAATCATTTTTGAGGTTGATTGCGTTTTTTTATGTATATTATGGCGCAGTCAACTTCAAAAAATGATTTGACTGCCTTCCCGATCGAATTTTTAGCTGAATTTTTTTGTGGATAAACTAGTCTTGACGAGGAACATGCTCAAAAAATTTCATCAAAATATTCTACTGGGAAGTGCTCCAAACAGCGATTTTCGGACAGTGTTCGGACGGGGAGTGCTGGACATGATCATTTCTCTCTATATAAAGTATTATACGGGTCTCCGTATATAACCAGGGGCGTATTTACTATGGGGGCAGGGGGGCAGCTGCCCCCACTCAACCCCCACCCAACCCCATTATATATATATAAAATTTTATTTGTGTACATATATCATTGTCATATGTATAGTATAATAATGTTTAAAATCCTATATTTAATGAAAGAGTGTTGTAGCCCAGCGGTAGAAGTAGTGAACGCGTAGGAACTATGGTCATGTTCAAATCCCACAGGCCACTTCATTGTAGTTTTTTTTTGCTTTCCTTTAAATTGTTTAAAATATGTTCAAATGTAAAACTTAAATTAATTTTTTTAATGCAGCTAATAAGTGATATGTAATTTCATCAACATCTTTGAATTGCATAGTTAATATTAAAAGTTATTTATTTGTAACTCAAATCACTTATAAATTACATATTTCATTCATTTCTTGTATATTTTTTATTTTGTATTTAATAAAGTATAGATTATCTAAATCTAAGATCCAAATTAGTTTAAAATAATTTATTTAATGTAACTAATAAATGGTATGTAATTTAAATCACATCTCACTTAATATTAAAACACACTTGTTTATTTGTAACCTAAATTAGTTATAAACTTTTAATTACGTAATTTATATGTTTCTTATAAAAAAATTAGTCTTTATTTTTAATAAATTGTCAATTTTTTTAATTAATATTCATTTCCTAAAAAATTGTGATAATGTTACTATAAACTTGCCCCCACTGAACAGATTTTCTGGATACGCCACTGTATATAACTAAGGAACAATCGTTATTATTGGTGATGATCTGTGTATATTATGGCGTACAAAAGGAATAAGGTTGGTAGTATTTAGTCAACCACTCACTGATCTATTATCCAACCATTGTTTCTCTAATCGATTCTAGTTGTCTAGATTGGTTAGATGTTTCATTTAATATTGCGCTGATATGTGATATTAGCTAGTGTTATACGGAGTAATAATTTTCAAACATCACGAATGAGATATTGGGACGCAAGGTTATGTTGAAAGTCAAATACTGTAGTTAATCGCTTATTGTCATTACTCATTAGTTTTCCTACAATAATGTACTGGAATATGGATTATATATACATAAGATTGTTATTAGCTCATTTTTCTTACAAGTTACTTCTATATATTCTAACAGTATTAGTGTATTGGAGTATCTAGATTTAATCATTGATCCACGGGTCAACAAATTATATGAGATCAGATAAGATCAAATAAAATAAAAACTATTCAGATGAGACCAAACAAATTCAGATAAAATAGTAAAGTTAAAATCATACGGAGTAATACCTTTATCCCAAACCGATTTGCAAACTTAACATTATTGGATCAAACATTTTAATTTTATTCACTTAAGTAGGATATAATTTTTTTTTTATTTTTTAATTTCGAACCTACAACTTTGTAGAGATTTTAATATAGTTTCTGAATATGTATATTTTATTATTAAAAATTGAATTATTTATCAATATAGATGATTTAACTTTAACTTTGATTGACAAAAAATGTTGACTTTGCAAATCAAATAGGGAGGGGTATAACATTTTCAAAGGCAAAGAGAATATTTGATTTCCATACTTCTTGTATTCTTTAATTGTTTTCAAACGTGCTTCATGCAACCAAGCATGATCTCTAGGGAAAACGGTGCAAAACGACAAAGGATTTTTTCTTTGACAGTACATAGAGAAAGTTCAACTTAACAAAATTTGGTTAAAGTCTTCGTAATCACCATGAATCAAGGTACGTATAGTATCACGTATGTACTCTTCGGTTCTGTTAACGTTTTCTATTGTTTTCTCATCATAGGTAATAAATAAATGTAGGAGACAAGTGCAATCAAGTGGATCACCAAGACGCATAAAAGAGCAACCTTGAAAATTAATACTGGGCAGCTTGCATTCTGTGCCGTGGCCTACTACATTTGGCAAGCGTGAAATGAGGCGAGATTTGATGAAGGGAAGAAGACGGAAGATGACGTGGTTGTTAAGATCAAGCATGTGGTCTACAAGATACTCTTAGTATCTACCAACATGACTTGATTAAGTTTTGAAGTGGAGCTAAGGACTTTTTGGGAAGCCACAGCTTAACCTCTATAGTACTGGATTTGTGTGCGTGCACCTTGCAGCACCACTATAGTTTTGTTTTTTTGACTTATTGGCCGCATATTTTTGCGTATAGGCCGAGATTGACTTAGACTAGACTATTAACCTCTTCTCACCCTTTACTTTTCTCACGAAATAGGAGGGGGTGGAGGGCTTTTGATTTTTGGACACATTGTACATGTTAAATTTTGCTTGGGTGTTAATATAATTTACCTTTCATCTAAAAAAATAAGTGTAGGAGACTGGCTCGGACTAACCTAGCTACAAAAAAATGTGATATATACGTATTACTTTTTGCCTCATTTTATTTATCTCAAATTTCTACTTCAAGTATCCCAAAATTAGTTTGTGCATTTTCCAAATCTCAAAGCCATTTACTTTTGTGAATTTCTCAAACTTGTGTGTTGTATATATGTAGTGTATTTAATAAGCGAATCAAATAACGCTTAAATTGCTACACTTTTTTTGGTATAATTATTTTTTAACCGAAATATATTTTAAATATACATGTTCACATCCAGCCGTTTCAACTAGAATTATATCATCAATTTCATCATATTGAGCGCATTCAGCTGACCGGCTTAATTTGGAAGTATTCAAGTGCCGATGTAGTATTAAATTCTGAAAAAATATTGAGTCGAATCGCAGGGAAACATTGTTCTATAAAGCTCGCGGCTATGAGAATTAATTAAAATAGAGAATCAAAGTCATGCACATGGATTTTTGTTGCTTAAGTGAATATAAGATAAAATGACCAAGACATCGAGATTCAACTCAACGTTAACTAGAATTTAATATAAGTTCTTTGTCAATTCTTATGAGTACGGTATCACTATTATATTCCTGAATCCGGTTAAGGTAGTAAGAGCGTGGTTTTCCCTATGTGTAAGTCCCGTTACAGCTCACATTAATCTAAAGGAAATCACATTGAATATTAAGATACCACACACGCACCATACAAGATTGGGTACATATATTTCTATTATTCTCAATACTTTGTATGTTTATAATTCTAGAGAACGATCTATATAGCAATGTTAATTAATCATATAAACCTCTAGATGTTATGCAACATAATTGCATAAATTTAGTTTAAAGAGAATAAAATGTGAATTGCTACGATCGGAGTACTTCTTTTAATTTAGTGTCTAATAGATGTTTCGATGTTACTTCCTATCAATACATATATTATATTATCATGTTGCATAACACACTTGGAAAGTTAAACATAAAAAGAACAAATCATAAAACTTGACTTAGATCGAACAAATATAAAAACTAGTGGCGTAGAGGTTCATTCTGGGATTTGGCATAAGGACTTAGCCTCTAACGCTCATATTAATCAAAATTATAATATTTTGAAACCAAATGAACATGAAAATACAAAGGAAATGTTACGTAAACATCAATGATTGGATGAAATAAGCTTTCACACCTCAAGAACACCATACATGAAGAACAAAGATAAACTATAAAACTAATTATATTAATGGATTGAATAGGATTGGATGATGGATTTGAGATGAATTGAGAGTTTATGTAGTCTATAAAATGATCTTTGATTGTCTATTCATGATCTTCAAACAACTTGGGGCAAAATTTTCGAGTCACGAGTTTCAAATATCTTCATTTTAACTGAAGATATTTGTGCACGTTGTCTGGTTTTTATGTAGATCAGTAGATTTGGGGTAACTGGCTCTGGTTAGGTGTGTTCGGCGGCTCGGTACCAATTTGTGTTTAATTTAAACGAAAATTACATATTACCAGCACCGGTTTGGTGTGGGACCGACGCCGGTTCAGGTATGGCACTTGCGATGCTAGAAATAATACACATGACCGGCACCGGTTAACAACAATTCTGGGGACGTTTGATTATGAATTTGGACATGATTTCTTCACTAAAGTTGTAGCTAAGAAAGTCTTCTATCCCCCAAAACTTGAATCATTGAATTTGAATCATCCAATCAAAAGATATTAATAGAATTGTGAGCCGTATACATCCTCAAATCCTACGAGCAACATCTGCTTCTATCAATTTATTTGTTCTTGATCCTTTCGTTATCTTGTTGAGTTACAGTTCACATTAAATTTGTATCTTGTTGAGTAATAGTTCACATTAAATTTGAATAGAGTGAGTTGGAGTTTTCTACAATAAGTTATACTCAAATTATGTGCAAAACGTCATCATCTTGGTCCAAAAAACCGTCCATCACAATATTTTATGTTCTATGTCTCATTCAGAAGTTATTTGCCCGATGTCTCTTTTTTTCTTCAACAATACTTATAAATACTTACGTTGAACACAAGTATATATAACTGTCATCACTCAATTTCAATGTTATCAAATTAACTCAATATATATCTTCTTTAACTATGAATATTGTACTGTAAAAAAGATTATCTATACATTTTTCAACAATTAATATCTCGAGTATGTGTGGGTATCGCTCTTACATACATGCATAATTAACAAATTATGAAAAATACAGTATATAACGAAGAGAAATTAAAGAAAATTGTAACTGTAAATGAAAAAGGTGGAAGATAATGGAGTGATGGAGTCAGTCTTCTGCAAAGACTTTGAAGATATAGTCCCGGAAGCGGCGGGAATAAGCCTTGGGATCGACGGCGGAGATGGTGGTGGCATCATATTGGATGGACTTGTAAGCATGCTCAAGCTTCTTGGTGATGTCATAGTCTTGGAGGATGTCTATGATGCCGAAGAAGAGAACGACGTCGTAGTACTCTCCCGTCGGCTCCCCGACTAGCTGCACCTCCGCCGCGTCGCTCCGCCTCTCCGTCCTCTCCACTCTCGCCGGCATGTTTATTCCCAGGCTTATCGTTGACCACCTGCGGCTTACAAAAGGTCAGCGTTGTTCAGTCAAGACTAGCTTATTAAGGTTTGACGGAAAATTGTTGCTGGGTCTTGTTGGGTAGCATAAATAAGTTCATTCCATTTACAAGAAATAAGAAAGTATTCCTCTAAAAAAATAAAGTGATTCTGTTTATCAATCAACTTTTTCATTAAATATGTAACTTTCAATTTCGCGCGCTTCATTATGTAAGATCAAAAATAAATAAAGCTAAAGTTACTTTTATGAATGAATTTATTGAAATTAATGTAGATGACAATTTTAACTATTTTATCATACGCAGTATATTTTTCTTTGTTTTATTAATGAAACATATGTTAAATTTATTAGTTTCATAAATCAATAGAATCAGACAATCCAGCTATTTCAAGCAGAATTTCATAAATTTAGGCAGAACCAAACAATTTCAGTGTTATCGAATGCGCACATAAAGAGAATAAACATGCTATAATATACTTTTTGACTCAATATCGTTTTACCAAGAACTACGTTCAGAAAATTGATCAAATCCACATCTATTTTCAACTTAGTAGTCAACTTTTGTATTACAACTTTTGATTTCGCACGGTAAGCAATTCAACCAATATTGGAGTTATCAATATTGGTTGTATGGAAGGGAAATTTGAGTACACCATCAAAATTTAGGTTCTAAATGTTAAAACTTATAAGACAAGTGAGTCAGGATGTTTTTAACAAGACTGTCGTTTTTTATTTGGTCAGATCTGATCCAGTCTGACCTGACTTCTCTGGTATGGTAGATTCCTTTCTATGTATATTTTACAATTATCAAAATCTTATATGATCCGTTCTCATCTAGTTTTTTATGTGCATTTTGATATGGTATATGCTGGTCCAATTTCGAACTAAACCAATCTAATCAGAAGCATCATTGAAACATAAACTTGGACTATATAAAAAGGATAACGTGATATAGATATGCTATTGATGCATAGTTGCATACCCGGCTGGATCTACAAGCAATTGATCCATCTCTGCTCGAGATAGCCGCACAACAGATTCTGTTTCCGAGCTTCCTTCGTTTTCTGCACTTGCACAATAGAATGGCATCAAAGCGTTACATTTTTCATTGCTCATTTCATGGAAATTTATCAATTTCGAAGAATAATTGGTGGAAGGATATCAGTAAGCCTTCCTCCTAGTGGTTCCTTGGAAATCGGAATGTCCCAGGGAAAGTATATAGGAAGCAGATTATAGAATAAATTGGGATGAAAAGAAATAGCTCAATTTATCAAGCTAGGTTCATTGCCAAATTAAATTCACTTACTCTTCTATTCAATTAATTTGTGGTGATTACTGTTTTTTCTCCTATGCAGAAAGTTCAATGATACAATTTTCACTTTATTATTTCTGTCAAATATGTCATAATTTTGAAGGACGAAAATAAATAATCTCCCAAAACGGAAACCAGACAAGAAAATAAATCGAATTTTATAAGTACAATGTTTTCATTTTTCAATTTATGATGGGGTAAGGGTGGGGACTAGAATTGTACAAACCAGTAGGAGTGGTGGAGTCGGTAGGCGTTTGATCTCCGGTGCTACTGGCTTCTCTAAAATGAAGGCCAACCAGAAGGCTATAGTCCATTATTCTCTCCTGCTCAAGTAACTCGCAGTCCCTATCCACTTGCCTGCACATAACTCACTCCCCTCATTCGTCTTTCTAAGCATTTTTATATGAATGATATGATAAAATGATGAAAACAAAGTGGACCATGCAAAACCAACAACTACAAATTAAGGGACATCAAATGAAATTGGCCACAACTTAGTCGAGGTAAGCTAAAATAATTTGGGAAAATGGAAACTAATAATCCAACCTTTTAGCGGTCTTCTTTTAATAGTTCCACCTTTTCGTTATTCATGAATAATCCAACCTTTGAACCTCATCTTCATTCACTAGTCCCTGACCGGTTGATGACCTGCTATTCCAAGTTATTTTCTTATCTTTGCAAAATATTATCTTTGTGAAAGGTGGAATTTATGGTATAATAGTTTGCAAAGATAAGAAAATAACTCGGAATAGCAGGTCATCAACCGGTCGGGGACCAATGAATGAAGATGAGGTGCAAAGGTTGGATTATTCATGAATAACGCAAAGATCGGACTATTAAAAGAAGACCGCTAAAAGTTTGGATTATTAGTTTCCATTTTCCCAAATAATTTTGAAGAAAAACTTTAACGTTAGTGTAGTGTAAAACTTTACTCAGCTGGGAATCGAACCAAGCACCTCTCACGTTTAGATGCTACTTACTGCATCATACCAGCCCCATTCAACTCCAATACTCAATTGTTACTTGATCAAGAGAAAGGACACATATAAATACAATTCTCCTGCTACTTCAAGATAAAAAGTGCATCCTATCTTCTATCACATATATTGTGAGATACATTAACTAGCCTCAGGTTTCAATTCTGTTACTTTTCAAAGTTTTTTTTTGAGAAAATGGTCGTAAATGGGAGTAAAGAAGACCGAATATGCTGACATAGGACTGCTTTTGTTCCTGTTCCTATATAGGACTAATTTTCAATTTTATTCCTATTATTCCCTTAATGATGGATCACTCAACTCAATTTCCCAAACCCCCATTTCCCAGACTGTTCGCTCCACTCAGTTCCCCATATCACATCCTTATCGCCTCACTTTTTATTTGCTTCGCATCAGCTTATACGGAGTAAGTGCTCAACGGTCTCGGACGGCAAGTCGTAGACGACGGTGGTAATCGGAAATCCATGGAGGACGGTGAGGTATCTTTCTTTTGTTTCATCTTTCCGTCTCTCTTGTGTTTTATCTTTCGTGGCAAGACAAGAGCTCAGAGCTCTTGATTCTTATTTGGTTGTTAAAAAATTCCAAATTTAATCCGAAAATGCCAACAAAATGGCATTCTTACACTTCAAAAATTCCATATTTTCCTCTGAAAATGCCATTCATATGACATTCTCAATTCATGTTGGCATTCTAATGAAAATATTGGCATAAGCAGCGGGGTTGGTCAGCTGTACATTGGCGGAGTCTGGATCTGCAACTGTGGAGCTCAGATATAAAGTGGTGGTTGTCAAATATGCAGGGCCGGCGGTTGGCAGCCGGAGCGGCCAGATCTGGCCAGATCTACGGCGACAACAGCCAGGTCTCTATGGACAACTGCCAGATCTGTGGAGGCGACCAGTTCTGTTGCGGCGGAGGCGGCCGGCGGTGACCGGAGACCGGTGGCAGTCTAGCATATGTTGGCAGCAGTAAGTTTGGACAAGCTTTAGTGCTATATCTGTCCAACTACAAAAAATAAGTCCTATTTGGAGAAATTTTAAACTTTACTCCTATTTTGGTAATTAAAGATGTATTTACTCCTATTTAGGTAAATCACTCTTTTTATTTATTTTGGATTTTTTAAGAGAGACTTTTTTTGGTGTTATCAAGAGTGCATTTCTTTTTTAATGTATTATAATTATTTTTAGGGAAAATAATAAAAATATCCCAAACTTTGAAGGGGTGTGAAATAAATACTTCAAACTTGCATATGTAATTTAAACACCCTAAACGTTATATAAAAAAGTTATTTTCGCACCATTGTCATGTATTATTTCTTTAAAAAATGTAAATATATGGGGTTAATCACATTATTTTAATATAGAAAATTAAAAGTGTTGCAATTATATAGAATGAGGGTAACATTATTTATTTCACAATGGAAGTTTAGAATGTTAATTATGTTTTCATGACTTCTAAAATATTTTAAATTATGCAATTAACACCATAAATTTACACTTTTGAAAGAAATAATATTTGGATATGGTGCTAAATAACGGTTTATACTCCGTATAAAATTTGTGGTATTTAAATTACATATGCAAGTTTGAGGTGTTCATCTCACACCCCTTCAAAGTTTGAAGTATTTTAATTATTTTTCCCATATTTTATATGTTTTTTAAAAAAATCAAAATTCATTCTACCTCCATACCGAAAAAAACGCCATATTCACATTTTTGGTCAATGATGACAAACTTTAAATAATAATTTTAATTTATAAACTTATAAATAATTTATAAAAAAAATATAAATTTATAATTTATAAATGTTATATTGTTATGAAAACATTTCGAATAAAGAACATTTTAATATAATTTTCATATTCAAAACAATTCGTAGTAAAAAAAAATATCATTGGTCAAAGCTCATTTCCATTGAGCAAAAAGTCAATTTAGCAAACCTTTTCGGGATGAAGGTAGTAATTTTTTATAATCTTTCATGTGACACCAATATTACATAAATATATTGTTTGAATTGTTTGAGTTTTAGACTAAAAAATTTGAAATATAATTTTTAACAAAAATAAACTTAGTATAAAATAAACATATATAATATGGTGTGAAAAATATATAATATACTACAAATTTATGGTGTAAAAGATAATGTGGTATACTCCATTTCTAAAGTAACAATTAACTATTGTGGTTGGATGGGGCTGGTATCAGTAGTAAGTATCCTCACGCGTGAGAAAAGCTGGGTTAGATTCCCAATCAAGGATTTTTGGACATAATTAATTTTTTGAGAGCTTTGTCAACCCAAATGACGTGGATAATACACAAATGATGTGGATAATAATGATGTGAAAAAAAACGATGACTAGGATACACACGTAGATTTCCGGCGGACATGTGGCATTTTTTGGCTGGGATATTGAATAGTACTACCGGTTGCAACATTAAAACGTAGTTGGGGTACCGATTTGCGTGAGAAATGATGGATCCGATTCCCAACCAAGGCTTTTTGGACATAATTAATTTTTTTGAGAGCTTTGTCAACACAAATGACGTGGATAATACACAAATGATGTGGATAATAATGATGTGAATAAAAACGATGACTAGGATACACACGTGGATTTCCGGCGGACATGTGGCATTTTTTGGCCGGAATATTGAATGGTACCACCGGTTGCAACATTTAAATGTAGTTGAGGTACTGATTTGCTTCAATAAAGAGTTAATGTACTAAAATGCAACATTACCAACAGTTACGACACTGTTTATGCATTTTACTCTAGCACATAGTCATAACTCATAAACTTTACTCCTTCTACCCCGAAATTAACCTTCATATTTTCTATTTGAGATGTCCCGAATTTAACTTTTTATTTACTCTATTTCTACTTTTAGTAAGGTTTTGCTTTGGTACCCATTCATCCCCTATTTTTACTATTCATTTACCTCCTTTAACCTTATGAAAAGGTAATTTTGAAAAGTCAACTTCAAACATTTTCTTGTCTAAAATCCGTGAGGTCAAACCCGAAAGGTAATTTTAGGACGGAAGAAGTATTAATATAATCACTTTATATAAAAAGTTACATTTGTATCCAAACACTTTATTTATTTTAGTCATATACTCCGTATATGTGATTATTTCATGATATATTACCTGCGAAATTCTTGAAACCAAGACTTTTGCAATCTGAAAATGAAGTTTAGATCAAGGTCTTTGAGAGTTGTGGTGGCATCAATCTCGGATTCAGGCTTCTCAGTCAACCGCCCAAAAGTTGACCCTTTCAAGTCAAACCGTTTGTGTATCGTGTAGTCCGTGCAAAAGAGATTCCCCATGATGATGAATCGCACCTAATCACATTCCGAAGGTATCAATAGTCAATATGTTCCACTAGGGTGTTGTTTACTTCAATGGTTTACCCTCAAATAAAGTCCTCCTCTAAAAATCCTGATAAGACTTACCACTACAAAAAAAATTACATCATTGACACGGATTTAGCACTTAGATCCATAATTTCGTGCCAAATAGCTTGTGTTAAAGTCTTTTTGGTACAAATTTGCATATCCCTGCCAAACTCCCAATTCACTTTTGTGAATTCCTTTAATCGAAATTCAATTCCCCTCAAGGACAATGAGCTTCTAAAATCTAAAGTCTCTCATTGAGTATTTCAAGTATGAAATTGTCACAATTTAGTAATTTTAAGCTAAAAACTGAGCTTAAATTTTGATGGTACTTGAACTCGAACTCAATTATGTACTAATCAAATTCTAATCTTAACGTGTATAAAGAAGAGTATGAGGAAGTGATACAGCCTAACTGATCGCCGACTCACTCTCCCTACCGGGAGGTCCCAGGTTCAATTCTCAATGGAGTGAGATTGAACCCAGTTTACCCCAGGCTTCCCAAACCCCCTCCCCCGATGCCCCTGGGGTAAAAAAAAAGAGTATGAGAAAAACTAAGTTTGGTCAGAATCCAGGCCCATCCAAGCAATGGACCAAATAGCTTTTAAGTTATCCAAATTTTACTATCTCGTTCAAGCATAAACAGAAATACAAAGGCAATGATAATGGTAGGGACAAAGTCAATACATGATCCAAATATAGGACTGTGATAAAAGCATTTCAAATATATTATGAATCATCCCTCACTTAGTTACTTGGAGAAATTTTGATTTTTTTTACCATTCTTGAACCCTATTTTAACTACTTTTTTTATGCTCAGACAAACATGTTAGATCGAGGCCATATTACGAAATTGAGCTCTTATGCTGTCCAAAATGAATTAGGCTGGCCCAATGTTCTAAAAGGCGCTAGGCGTTAGTCGGGCGCCAGCCCAGCGTCTAGCGCCTAGGTGGCTAGGCGGGAGCCTAGGCGGGGATTAGTCGGAGACATAGAAATTATATTTTTATCTATATTTTTGCATAAATATGATAAGTAATACTATCGTATTGTATTTTTGTGTGTAAAAAATACATATATACATATACATTAACAAAATAATGATAAAATTTGGGCATATATACAAACATATAGTTTTATCTTAATTTACATATTCATTTCTTTATATACATGGCTAAAGTTAAAGTACGCATATCGCTTAGAAAATTAAAATTAAAAAGTGAAGTAAGATTCGGCGAATCTAGGCAGCCTAGGCGGCCGACTAGGCGCTCTAGGCGGGCAACTATGCGCCATAAGCGGCCGACTATTTTACCTAGACGGCAAACAAATTAATCGGAGCGCCTAGACAAAAATCGGGGCGCCCGACCACCGCCTAGCGCCTAGGCGGGGACTAGTCGGGCGCCTAGAACGATTTTTAGAACAGAGGGCTGGCCCCATTACATTGAAACTTTTTGCGGGGCAGTGGATAATCATACCTTCTTTTGGGCTGGCCCACTTAGCTTAACACAATGCAATCCGAAGTATCTGGTCACGAGGGTGTTCTCGAATGAACGAACATGATTGAAATATGCATTTAGCATCCTCAAAAGCACCTAGTTGAATTCCATTAAACCTTATTATTCTGACAAACTCAAAGATGATATACTAGTATATTTTTTGTACAATATATGATCCATAATAGGAAGATAATAATGTTATTTGTGAGGTGCGGGGAGAATCATCATAATTCATAAATAACAAATATGGTGACCAAAAAGTTTATAAGTTCCAACAACATTTAATGATTAGAACAAGATTTGGAACCATACTTTTACTTCTGACTTTTTCATGGTCTTGATCATATAACGATCATCGTTTGTCAAGTAGAAAAAGCTTCCACTTTTTCCTGGAGAGCATAGTTCTCTAAGAGCATCATTTCCACATATAGATAACATGTAGTCTGCAGCATCAACCTTGAATAACATCCTCAATGCTCTGTAACACATGTGTGAAAGTGTATATAACAACAGAAGAACAAAAGACCGCAATTGTTCTAAATAGGAGTAAAACTTGTACAAAGTTCAGAAATAAGATTAAATATTTTATCCCCAGAATATGACACATTTAGTCCTATTAAAAGAATATGCAGATAGAAACTCACGAAAATATGAGTGAATGAGTATTTTGGAAAGAGAACGGTGACACGTTTAAATGAATTAGGATCCTGTGCCATAGGGCAGAGTGCCTTTCGGGGAACGGGGGCAGATGGCAGAGTGCCTTTCGGGGAACGCACGGGGGCAGATAGCAGAGTGCCTTTCGGGGAACGGTGGCAAATAGAAAGGGAGACACCTTGAGATTGTTGAAAAAGTGAATTCCAAGAATTCCGACAGTGATTTTCGATCGGAGGGTCAATCCTACTTTGCTGCCAAAGCAAGGCTGAGACTCCCTATCCCCGTTTAAATGCACTATGTCTTACTTCTATTTATGGGTTCTCTATATGTGAGACATTGATCCACTTCTTTCAATAATAAGGTACATATATACCTGAAAACTTTGGGACAATAATCCTTCCATCTAAAATCACACGATGAATGAGGTGGCGTGCTTTTGCTTCCCTCGGGAGGGAACCTCGTCCAGTACTTCTCCCTCGGATCAAAAGCAGAAGATTTGAGATCTAGAGACGGCGGTGGACCCGGCCTCCCAACAGAATGCCTGGATAACATACCATTAATAAATGCAATCATGCTTCGTGTACACGTTTTTTGTACACGTCATTTTTAAAATTTTGAAGGATTAAAAACAGTTTTTATGCCCGACTTCTACAAATATATCCTCACAACTTAATGTTTTGAAGATATATTGAAACCAATTAGAATAGTGATCAGAAAAAGACAAGTAGATCCCTTTTATAACATAACAACTTAATCAAGCACCTTATTCCTAGCTGCAAATTAAGCATAAGCTCGTAATTCTTGTGGCCTTTAGAAATGGTGTCTCCTTGTTTCTTCACAATCTTGGGGATCCTAATAGGGCTCCCTCTCATGAAGTTTGCATCGCTAGGGTGCATCATGCCTCCGCTACCGCCACCGAGGAAGGAGTCATCGGAGGCGAACGACGTGCTGGTTGAAGCTCCACCGACGTCCGACAGCCTCGCCCTAGCAAACTCTCTGTCTACCATGCACTCGGCATTACAATTATCTATCCTCCCATCAACCGACAGTCTTCTAGGCCTAACGCTGCCGTCTGCTGACCCCGTCGCCGCCGCTGCGGCCGTCGTCTTCGAGGATCTCCACCCTGCCAGCTTTCTATCGGTCGGGAAAATCTTTCGCTCCTTCAAATCCACATTGAATATGCCCATCTATCGCATCTTTTTTCACATTCAATTCAATTCACAGATGGATAGCAAAAGGTAGAATGTGGATGATGAATTGCATGAGTTGCTACATAGTCAACCATGCACGCAAAAGTAGAGCATGCAAGAGACAGAGAAACGCCACCCTCTGTTTCTCCATCATTTTTTGTTTTTCTCCCCCGGGTTTTTGGGAGTCTTTCCCTCCCCTCCCTACAATCAAGTGACGCAAGAAAATGGAGCTCAAAAGAGGGTTCGAAAGAAGGTGAATAACCCTCCTTTTTCGAGCCATTAATTGGCTGGCAGGTGGCAATTTAGAAATGAAATTGTTAAAATAAGAGTAAACAATTGACAAATTTTCTTTTTTTACATCCGGGTTGGGTAGGGGCTGAGGGGAGTTTAGAGTAAACAAGACTGAAATTGCCTCCATAAAGTTTGGAACTCGAGACTTCACGAATGATAGAATGAGTCGGCGATCAGTTGGTCTTAATCCTTTTAAAAGAATAAAGAAAAAATTCCCCAAATAGGAGTCAAAAGTTTTGAAATTTCAAGATAGGACTGTCATGTTTTTATACCCTAAATTGGAGTAATAATATCTGCGAAGATCCTATTTTGGAATTTCAAAACGTTTTTACTCGTATTCAAGGCAATTTCTAAAGAATAAAGTGATTAAAACTTCTCAAAATGACCAGATATCTACTTTACAACTCTCAGAGTCTAATCTCATATATTTAAGTTTAGTTTGATTTGTTTAAGTCTAGTATTAGATGAGACTGAAATCAATCCAAGTAAAAATATTCTTAATGGGGAAAAAACAAAAACGCTTGGTAAGTTGGTACACACATTTTTTGTACACCATTCCTCCACTTTGTTGTGTATTTGTTTGGTGTAAATAAACAAATTAAAGTGTGTAAATGATGTACAAAATAATTTCACAGTGCTATTCTCTTAAGTGTACGAGATTTCTGTTTTAAAATTATTGTCGCTTGTCGGATCATCTTTTACATCCGGAAGAGTGTCTACAACCACGTGTATGTGCTCACCAAACCCTTCTAAATATGGTGCATTTGAGCTGGATGTACACCATTATATTCATTGTTACCAGCTGAGAGTTGTTTGGTTTTTACACCACTTAATCCAAACTTAGTTCAACTTTTGAGCTATCAAGATTCTTGGGAAAGTAAAATAGGCTAGGGCTAGGTGATAGAGTTTAGTCTAGTGAATTTCAGTGATTAATTAATCAGAGTTGGGAAGGAATTAAATGAAATCAGGCTAGCTAGTCTATATATGTTGGAAATATAATACTACGTACTTCGTATTTTGAGATAGGGATCAGTACGTATTAATTGGAGCTCGATAGTGATTTGAAAATAATGTAGCATCTTCAATTCCAATAATAAAAGTTCGACTCAAGTTCCAGATCATTGTATATCTAAAAATTTGATGAACTCATTCGGATCCCTCCTTAATTGAGAATTTTATGTTTCTAGCTAGAAGAGATTGAGGTCGTGTTAACTATGAAAAATCGATATCTGGTGATATAACACAAGGCCTTTCAAAAGTAGATTAGGTCTTACAAGTGTGTTCGGTTGATTCCATATCAAAAGGAGGTTTGTGTGTTGGGATAAATTTATAACCGGAATTTCAACTCAACTTTGAGAATCATTAGAATTCACAATTAGGGGTGGGGAAAAATACCGAAATTTCGGTATACCGGACTTACCATATCGAAAAATACCGAATTTACCGAAGTGTTTGGTATACCGACACTTTTGGTACGGTCTGATACCGTACCGAATTACTTCGGTATGGTATCGGTATATATTTTGGAAATAAACGGTATACCGTTATACCGTCATCATACCGTAATTCCAAGCTAATAATTTCTTTAAAATTATAAAAATAACTAGAAACACAACATTAATTCAAGGATAATGACTTTATATCCATGTTTCTTGAATTATTTATACTTTTTGTTGGAGATCGATGTTATTTCAAATATATTTTTGTTGTTTAAATTATTATTTTAGGAGAATGTGTTGTTATCTTCATATATCATGTGTCTTATTTTATGAAGTATCTGTACATATTTATAATATTTTTTTGTTCAAAGTTGAATAGAACACAAATAGGTTATCACTGGTATTTTATAATTAATTTCATTAATAATTTTAGTATATCACTATTAACACTGATTTTCTATATTTCATTTGATATATAATAATTTGATATTAAATCATGATAATTTACCGATACCGTAGCTTACCGTACCGAAATTTTGGTATACCGAAACAAGATATACCGAAATTTAGGTATGGTAATGGTTTGTATTTTTGTATACCGAAAGATTACGGTATAGTAAAGGTATGTGATAAAATTTTCGGTATACCGTACCGAACCACCCCTATTCACAATGTTTGAACATTTGATAAACTTCATGTTGAATTTGACTCTTCATGAAACACTTAATACATCATTCTAATTAAAGGTTGAAATTATTGTATACTACGTATATATTTCTTACCATATTGAAATAGTAAAGCTGCCAATCTATATAGCTCCCAACCTACTGAAGCTACATTCGTAGATGCTAAACAATTGATAGATGCTGGTTGAGAAGGACATCAACTACTTGAAATATATAAACCACATCTTACAGGAGAAATTAAATATTAAAGGCAAAAGTGTTTCATCGGTTTGTTGGAACATTATATTAAGGTATGTGGCTCCCAGCTGGTTGTCACAATATAAATTTGTTGGAACTAATTGGAAGTTTTAATAAATAACCTTAGCTGAATTGGAGTGATGTACTCTAGCAGAGAATGTTTTCCCCATATAAAAGTGTTGAAGGAATTTGAAAAATATAATTCTACTACAATTTGAAAATTGGAAAGGTATTACAATAATCAATCCATAATATCAACAATCGTAATTAACCTTTAATAGGAGTAAAATAAAGGGAGTAACACGTACTTTTCCCTATTTAAATAGGAGTCTGCTCTCATATTTTGAGAATTGTAGAAACATATATTTGGGGAATTATCTAAAATTTATATGACACGAATAAATTATTAGAGATTTGAGTTTTACTCATATTTAGGGAATTATCTAAAGTATACATGACACTAATAAACTATTAGAGGTTTATAGCTCGTTTGGTAAAATTGATTTGACTTTATCACTGATTCTAATGAAATTTATGAAGTTCTGACTAAAGTGACTAGATTAGTTGATTTTGCTGATTTATGAAAAAAAACGAAATTTAATACATTTTTTAGTAATAAATTATAGAAAAAGTGTGAAAATAGTTAACATGATACTCTACAGTATCTTCACCCAATTGAGGTAGAAAAGTATCTGTAATCTTACTTATTTTGATTATTACACGACACAACGTGCGAAATGAAAAGCAGCGTATTTAGGGAAAAAGTTAATTATTAAGGTTGATAAGACGAAAAACAGAGTCACCAAATGAGATATTACTCTATTAATCCCGAAAATTAAACCAAATTAGCAGTATGTAGAGCACGTTCGGTAACACAAAAATCGACTGATTCGGCTGATTCTGCTGAAATTTATGAAGTTCTGGCTGAAGTGGCTGCATTGGCTGATTCTGCTGATTTAAGAAAAAATTATTTTTAAAATATATTTTAGTAAGAAAATAAATAAAAAATTATATGTAAAAATAGCAAAAATGGTTATTTACAGTAACTTCAGCCAATACAGCCAGAAAAGTAACTCCAAACCTACTCTTCTTATTATTACACAATTCAGCGTGCAAAAACAAAAATTACATGTTTGGTGAAAAAGTTGGCTGATAAGTCTGATAAGTCGTAAAACAGTGTTACCAAATGACCTCGTAGTGTACTTTTTATGGTATCCAAGATAAGGTGTACTATTTTGACATCTTTTCTCCTAATACAATAAAAAATACTTTTTCCCTCCGAAACTATTTATCGTTTCAAGTGACAACTTACATCTCTAATTTCCATATAAATCTCAATTATATACTAGGAATACTAATACAATTTCCATCCTTTTAAATTTCATGTTGGGTCACGATGTTTTTACTTGTTTTTACTCATAGACCAAACCATATCAAATCAGATTAGATCAGACTAGATCAGACTTAAACATTTACACAGAGAGCAGACATTTACCAGATCTGACCACTAGTTCAGACCAGATCAGACCACTAGTTCAGACTAGACCAAATCAGAAAATTTCCATCCAAGTAAAACATCATCAATAGGAATACTAGTTTTGGGACGAATGGAGTAGCACCTAAACCTTATGAATCTTATGAAGGTAGTCGCACATTTCTCTCTGACATAAATTTTAATTATACAATTTCACTTTCTTCTTTCTCATTCTAGTTAAAATTAGAGGTGGGGGAAAATACCAAAATTTCGGTATATCGGACTTATCATATGGAAAAATACCGAATTTACCGAAGTGTTTGGTATACCGACACTTTTGGTACGGTATGATACCGTACCGAATTACTTTGGTATGGTATGGGTATATTTTTTGGAAATAAACGGTATACCGTTATACCGTCATACCGTAATTCCAAGCCAATAATTTCTTTAAAATTATAAAAATAACTAAAAACACAACATTAATTCAAGGATAATGACTTTATATCCATGTTTCTTGAATTATTTATACTTTTTGTTGGAGATCGATGTTATTTCAAATATGTTTATGTTGTTTAAATTATTATTTTAGCAGAATGTGTTGTTATCTTCATATATCATGTGTTGAAGTATCCGTACATATTTATAATATTTTTTTTGTTCAAAGTTGAATAGAACACAAATTGGTTATCATTGGTATTTTATAATTAATTTCATTAATAATTTTAGTATATCACTATTAATACTGATTTTCTATATTTCATTTAATACTCCCTCCGTCCCAGGGAGAAGTTCCCGGGTTGACTTTCACACATATTAAAGAAATAAAGTTACTGAGGGGTAAATTTTACTGTTTGACACTGTTTCGACACTGTTTGGCACTGTTTCGACATTGTTTGAAACTGTTTTGCACTGTTTGACACTGTTTTGATGTAGGATAACTTTCCATTTAGGGAAATGAGAACTTTTTGTTGGGACTGCCAAAAAAGGAAAGTGGGAACTTGTCCCTGGGACGGAGGTAGTATATTATAATTTGATACTCCGTATTAAACAATGATAATTTACCGATACCGTACCTTACCGCACCGAAATTTTAGTATACCGAAACAT